AACCAAGACATGTGATGCGAATTAAAATCCCCGCATATTATAACTGGTTTAGGTAGATGAGTTGATAATTCATTCCACTGATGAATATTGATGTAATATTTAGGAATCACATAGATGGAAAGTATACTTAAATTCGAGTTATTTATTCGTACACTTATCCCACAAATTTGACATTTGTTTGGGTCAATGGTTCCTAGATGATTTGGATGGTATTATAGGGAATGCTTAATAAAAAAAGCCGCACCCCCTTTGCCATCATTTCTGTCTTGCCTTACCGTGCTATATCCCTTAAGCGTATAATGTGTGAAACCACGTTTCTGATTTCGATAGTATAGAAATATCCAATTCGGACACGGTATGTTCAATATAACTTTTGTTCGAAGTAAACGATCTCGCATTCCATTGTAAAATTGTGAAATCCATTGTTATATACTAAATAATAGATAAGTAAGTATATATATATATATATATATATATAAATAAATAAATAAATTTTTTTTTCTATCACAATTATATTATTTTATCACTAGCCCTCATACTTTTAATGCTTATCAATTTACGTAATAATTCAGTCAACAGTTTGTCAAAATGAGGTTCGCTCGGATTGTGTGTGTTTCTTAATTGATTAATAAAAAGATTCAAAAACTCTTTTGGTTCTGAGCCTTTATTACGATAATGATCATCATTATCGGACTCCGATTCAGATTTATTTTTCAATCTTTTCCTTTTACTAATTAAATTTGGATTCTGAGTCCCATTATGACTAGGTATTTGATCAAATTTATACATCGTACTTCCCTCTTTTTTCTTCTTATTAATTGCAGCTGGCATGTAAAATCTTCTGGGTTTCTTGAAAAGGTTTTTGCTGTCATTTTCATAGTGAATATCTTCTTCTTCTAAACCTGATAGTGCTATAAATATATTATTGACAGCAGGTAAATTCGAGTTTTTCTTTGCTTTATTTATAGCTGGAAATTCTTTTTCCTTACTTAGTATGTTCATATTTGATTTAGTTTTCCTAGCATATCTATCATTTTCTATAATCGATTTTTCTTCGTGAAACGAAAAATTTTGCAATGCCATTAATTCCTGAATATTACTATGTTTTATGAAAACTGGACAATCCTTACTATTTGCCATATGATTATTCTCACAAAGACAGCATATAAAATCCGAATTATTTGTACACAAATTAGTATTGTGTGGACCTGCACATTTTGGACACCTTTCCTCCCCACGGAATTGGGCCCTAATATGGCCGAAGCGCCAGCATTTCAGGCATTTGACATTTGACTGAGTGTATCGCTACCTTTTCTAGAATTCTGGATCCTCTAAAAGTAATGATAACGCATTGCGATTTAAATCTATGTGTATTAGTATTTGTTGGTGTAAAACATTTCACATTGATTATTGTACTTTCCGATACGATTTCACTTTTAATATCGTCCTCTATGAGTTCGATATCCACATCAAAAATAATTCCTTTTCTGATTAATAAATAGTTTGGTATATATGCTATTATGTTGTTTTTATTGAAAAATTCCCCATAGAGCAACCTATTTGCCACATTACCGTTACATAAAACCAGTTTTACTTTATTATTATCGAGCACTAATATATCTAACAGATCCGATTTCATATTTGGAAAAGACTGATGAATCATTTATCCAATCGCCATCGGATGTAACCGTCCGAAGTTTTTATTTCTTGATAAAATATAGATATAGTACGGCCCTGTGCCGCAACTTTCATATCGCAGTTGCATACCGACCTTTCTCTGATTGGTAGATTCGTTAACCGCTGTTGTGTCCGTCGAATCCGTAGCATCGACCACATAATTTTCCATTGTTATGACCTCATTATTGTTAGGGCTGCAATTTGCGTTATTTTTTGTTAATTTTGTTTCGTAATTATGTATTGTTATATCACTTTGTTCGTTGCATTTAGTATTTTTTCCCCACTCGTTTCCATCATATTTAACTTTCCCATAGTCACCTCTTTACTTCTTCTGTTTATTCTACGATCACCAACGCCGTCATTTTTGACACGTCTTTGCACGCCACTTTTAATTGCACGCAGGAGGCATTAAATCAAGCTAAGACTTTGCATAATTCAGCCAGCATGAAGTTGCCGGCGAAGACTGATATCAAGCTGTCAAGCATTTCAGATGTCAAGAGCGCGTCGGCCATTTTGTTCATCTTTATATCAGCATTGTGTCGGCGTATTGTTTTTTATTAAGTAGGCTTGTTTCATATTTAATATTTTTTAGCTTTTCGTTATGATTCATTCTTTTTGTGTTTATTTTTTTATGTCCGTTCAAGTTTATTCGCTTTGGCTTTTTGATTACGCGCCTATTTAGTTCTTATTTTAATTTTTACATTTTAGGGTTATGTTTTAGGATTCTTTTCATTCAAAGATTATTTTAGTCTAGCTTAGATTTTATACAATGTTTTAGTTATAATTTTGTTTTAAAAAATAATTTAGGCTTACGTTTTACGCATAGGGTTACATTTTATTCATTATTTTTGTTAGGGTTACGTTGTATACATGATTAGGTTTGGTTTCGATCTTAACCTTAATTCAGTGGAAGCTAACTAAAACTCAACAAACAACAAATAGAAGGTTCAGTAAATGAAATAAAATTGAAACACTTCTGATGTTGTAATACTAAACCAAAATACTTCATACTGTCTTGGAATTGACAGATATATTTCGTTTTTTCTGCAATATTTGCTATGAGGGAACAAGATATATTGTATTTTAACGTAATATATTGTCTAAGATAAAGGCTATCATCTTGGTATTAGACAATATAATAATAATAATACTTGTTTGGCTGTGATAATAATGATCTTGACAGGTTTTAGCTGTCAAAGTTATGAACAATGAATCCAATACATTTCAACTTGACGTCTAACTTCTATTTCGTCGCCAACTTCGTGCTGGCTGAAATATGCAAATGTCAAAATTCTTAGCCTGATTTAAGGTGGTGTATTGCACGCATATTAGATTCCATTTTTAAATTCTTTCCAGATTTAATTCTTGATATTCCACTGCTTACTTTTTTACCCTTAGATTTAACATTAATCACTTTTTTGTTTTCACAATCACCTTCACTAATTAATACATTGTTTTCTTTTGATAATTCATAAAATTCTTCAACACTCTCATTATCAGAATAATAAGTTCTCATAGCCTCAGCTACTGTTACACCTATTTCGGCGCATGACGGTACATTGTTATCGGGCGCGCGACCCGATACCTGCCCGTCCTCGTACTCCATAAACAAACACTATTCCTCACTATTGTATTCGATGTTGCACCTTTCGAAGTCAACTACCGACTGAGCTAACCTTCATATTAAGTTATTGGCTATTATAACTCGAAATAATTTGACAATGTCCCCTTCAATTCAATCTAAATTTAGGATCTTAATTCAAATAACATAAATAAAACTAATAATAAAACATAAAAATATTTCAGCTTGAATACTAATTCTAAACCCACCACATTTTTTAGACCTGGCATCATAGAATCATTATTTATTTTAATTCCTAAAACAATTTTTAGATACCTTGATTAGTTTTTTGCTAATAACAATGAAAAAATTTATAATCCCGGAATTATGCTACTACCAGACATATGACAAAAGATTTTAACTAGTTGAAAGAATTATCTTACATTAAGGCAAGTTGCATGAACTTGCAGAAATGTTTAATAATCAATAAAGATTTGATAAACCAATATTGAGATCTAGATATTAAGATAACATTTTCAACTGCACGATTAAATATATCACGTACGTAGCTCTTGATATTATTTAATGATAAAAAATAATGGTTAATTTTTTTACATAACTAGATAAGTTATTTAGACTTATTTTATATAAGTTTCATCGAAAAATTCAACAGTAAATCATGAACCTCAGCCCATCTTTGCCCAAGACTAATCAGCACGATCTCCAAAAAATATCTTTTAAAAAGTTTCTGAATTTTTAAAATCGACTCAGAATTTTTGGCTAAAACGTAGTCAAAAATGGTTCACTTCTCTCTTAAGAAACGCCTCAGCCGATAGTCGCACAAGACTGAAAAACGATATTCCTCATCTAGATATATCGAATGGCGAAAACGTCGATGAAAGATATAATTTTAACGAACGCCAAATATCGTCACTAATTTCCGCAAACTTTTACAAATTTTTAAAATTAAACGATTCTTTGTGGAGCCGTAATATATAAGTTTTATCAAGGAAACTGTGATATCTATGGTCAAAACAAAAATTCATAAAAATCGCTGAAAAGACCTTTTTCAACAGTTAATTACAAGATCATTAAATCATTACCAAAAACTAATAAACTAATCAGGCCGATTTACAACCAATATCTTACGAGCAGTGTTTGCTCGTCGCGCAAAAATAACAAACGCTTATCCTTATCGAGTTACATCAAATGACTTTTAATTTTTGAAATCAGCCAAACCGTTTTTGAGTTAAAGTCGACGAAAGGTCAAAAACTTGTTTACAAAAAAAATACACACATACTTTTCCCAAATTTTAGAAAAATATGTTGTATGTGTGTGTTCATTTTCAGACTATCATTCGATTCAAAATGGCTTGAAACATCAAAAAAACATAAAATTAGCAAATTGGATTTTTTTATAAAAACATAAACTTCGCCTGCGCGAAGTTAACGAAGTATTTGTTTATTATACAAAAATTACTGGTCAAAATGCCTATAAAAAAAACTTAATAACTCTCCAAACAACTCAATAATTTAAGAATTAAGAGTTTTAGGATTTCAATCAACTAACAAGCATCAAATGGTCAATGTTATCTCAATATAAATCTAAAAAATATTTAATATTAGCATCTATTAAAAAAAGAAATCAGCATAGAATAAAAAAACTAATGTGAATATTTTACATAGTAAAATCTACTCCATTGTAAAATTTGAATAGTCAAAACGATGTGACTAATAGATATATACACGGATACATACAAACCTTCTAATATAACAACGCAATTTGCCTTCTTCGGGTAATGCCCTGGATATCCAGGACTATATAAAATTTTTGCATCAGGATCACCAACAGTGAATGTCAGACATGGGTCTTCGTCATGCAGAAGTAAGTTTCTTTTAACATGGGATTGTTTTATTCCCAAAGAAAGTGATTGTTGCTTAATATTGTTAACTGCCAAGTCAGTCAACACACTATTGTTTACAATATTCATATTTTCACTTAATTTCTTAGAAATATCAAATAATTCATATCCACTAATTGCTCTGTCATGTAAATTTAATTTAATACTTTTATTGATCATAATTCTAAAATCAACGATATTATGTTCAGTCATTAAATCACTAAAATTACTTGTAACAATTGATGATGCACTTTCATTTCCACTTTCAGCTACTTTCGTTATGTTACTATAGATTGATCTGTTTGTATATAATGTGGGATATGTATCTGCATAGCTCTTGTTATGTTGGTTGTAATCATCTGTCGTGATGATAGAATGTATACCTAAAAATTAAATTTTATATGTCACAAACGTTAAATAAATATTCATATGTTCACACACACACATACATACACACACATTCATACATATATATATATATATATATATATATATATATATATATTTTGAAATATGTGAGTTTGGTGTTGATATTATATTTTGATAGGTTATTTAAAATCGGGCAGTAACACCAAGTAAAGTGTGGGAGTTGTAATGATTATGATAATATATTTAATTAGAAACTCCCAACATAATAAAAAAATATAAATTTATTAACTGTAAAAATATTTCCATATCAAAAATTATTTTGGTGTTACTGCCCGATTTTAAATAACCTATCAAAAATATATATATATATATATATATATATATATATATTAAAATAACACATAACTACCCCTCTCCCTATATGCATAAAAACGCCATGTCTCTGATGAGGAGTGTGTCGAGGGCTGAGAGTGGTTGCCGGCATTAACAGTCTAGACTAGAGGTAGTCTTGAAGTAGTCATGGTCGAGGGTGTGAGTTGCCTACATGGCTTCAGAGTCAAAAAAATATAAATTTATTAACTGTAAAAATATTTCCATATCAAAAAATATTTTGATATGGAAATATTTTTACAGTTAATAAATTTATATTTTTTTATTATGTTGGGAGTTTCTAATTAAATATATTATCATAATCATTACAACTCCCACACTTTACTTGGTGTTACTGCCCGATTTTAAATAACCTATCAAAATATATATATATATATATATATATATATATATATTAAAATAACACATAACTACCCCTCTCCCTATATGCATAAAAACGCCATGTCTCTGATGAGGAGTGTGTCGAGGGCTGAGAGTGGTTGCCGGCATTAACAGTCTAGACTAGAGGTAGTCTTGAAGTAGTCATGGTCGAGGGTGTGAGTTGCCTACATGGCTTCAGAGTCGGCAAAAGTGCGGTCCAGCGCCCGAAAGTTAATAAAATGTTTTTAATGTGAGCTTAGAGGACGTCATGAGGGGACAGCGTTTCGGAAGCTATCCCCAAACCTACAGTAGACTTTGTGTAGTTCCTATAGTTTATATGATGGAAGTAAATGTAACTATTTGTGTGTGAAGTGAACCGGGCCCGATGTATGGACAGGTATTGGACACTGGTTGCGCCGTGGGTTACAGATATAAGTTGCATGTTAGAATAAGCAATGTTTTAGAATAAGGAATTATTATGTGTAAATATAGGTTAGTCAATTAAGTAAGAACAAACGTATTTTCATTAGTAGTATTTGAAGTAATCAGTCTCTTACAGAATCGCGACGTCACGGTAAGGTTGTAGAGAGACCGCTAATGTACAAGCAATAATAACAAATTAGAGCATGAATTAAGGAGAGTAGTAATAAATGAAAGGGGATTTATGACAAATGATGGAAGCGCGTGGACTACTTTTCGTTGGTTTAACGATCAAATGATTAAATAGCATAAATTATTTTGGTAATCATCCGGGTCCACCATCGACGGTAGTACTTACGATCTCGGTAATATAATTTTATTGTTTAGTACATTTGCGGTCAATTTATTTATAATTTTACAGGTTCGTCGTTTTATTTTTCTCATTTTGTTATTCATTAATTTTGTGTTTTGATTTTTCGCAATATAGAGCAATTTGAAATAATGTTTAGGTATTTATAAATTAAAATGTAATTGTGTGACCATAAGGTTGTTCTATGTATTTTGGGACTATTGTAAACGTAATTTGCGAAATTGTTTGGCGCGAAAATGAATAATCAAGTAGTCCAAGTAATTATTAGAATTTTGATTTGTTGATTTGAAAATGTATTTAATTTGTAAAATGTAAAGGTTGTTTCATAATAATTTTGAAATGCTGAATCTATTTGTTGTATTGGTAATTTTGTTCGATAATATTTTTTTGTTCAGTTGCGCGGGTTTGTTTTATTTAGATTTTCGGGAAAGGCTTTTTATAGGCCTTAAGTTATTCATACATTGAAATATATTAGACAGAAGCTTATACGGCGAATGAAAATAATCAATAATAATATTTATTGTTTTATTCGTCGCGTTGGATTTTTTATTATGACTAATGAATATACTTATATACAAGATATAAATAACTTTTAGTTTTTAATAAATATTTCCATACTTATATACAGTATTTGTCGAGACGCGCGATAATGACGAGCCTTATGCTTGCTCGTCGCTCTTGCATAGCGACTTTATATGGGTGTTCCTGTACCGGCAGCGCGTATGCTAGCTGAAGTTTTTCCAACTTTTCACTTAAAGTTCCACTTACATTTAAATGAATTTTTGAATAACAGAAGAAAAATGTACAGGCTTTCGAATGATGCTAATATAAAAGTAGTCCAAAGTCCAAAGTCCAGAAAATAAAAAATGAAAAATTATTTTCTCCTTTTCATGCACTAACAAATAATTTTTTTACATTATTTGTTATGAACAACATAGACAAGATCAGTATAAATAGAATGGCGTTAAAATTTTTTCGATATCTCTCATATTTCCGACAAAAAGTGAGTTTGAAAAAAGGGGCCACTTTCATATGTTTTCACTGATATCTCGGACAAATGATGATCTACGGATTTGAAATTTGGTATTTCGAATTTTTTCGAAAATACCTATAAAATAGCATCAAAATTATTTGAATACCAGGGTGGGGCCAATTCTGTATGGAAACACTCCCATACCCTTTATTACTCTAAACAAGCACAACAATATTTTGTGTAGCTGTTTAACATTTATATACAGATATACTTTATAATGGACAACTATGCAGTTTATTCATTGCTAGTAATAATGAAATTATTCAAGATTGTTATATTACAGCTGTCCACTGTGTGAAAAAATATTATAAAATTTATTAAACAGCAAATACTTTATTTCTCTAATAAAGGATAAAGTCCTAGATGCTAATTCCAATGACAAACCGATCATGTTGTATTTGAAATATGACTTTAATTGCTTTATTGTTTTCAAACATTTTTAATGCTATTATAAATTTATAATTTATTATTATATAAATATGTATAATTGCTGACATTAAATAATGTGTGCATCACGAATGTTACCATATTACTGATGAACATTATTCAAAATTGTCATATGATGTACAGTAGAATCCGATTAGTATGATGCCGGATCAATTGACAACCGCTTATTATGACGTAATCGCACAAGGAAGTTTGGTTTCCATATAAAATTCCTTAAAAAAGCAGTCGGATATATTGACATCGCTTACATTGACATGTCGCTTATAATGACCCATTTTTGAAAAAAATTATGTCAAGTTGTAATGACCGATATGAATTTACATGATGTGGCCAAGTCTACGAAAGCGATTGCTATGTCATTTGTGCACAATAGCACCAGGGACTGTTTTTACAATACAATTATGTAAAGAAATCAATATAAAATTACTGATTACTTACATTAAGAAAACACATTTGTATGTTTATGGGTAGAGTAAACCAGTTATTAATGGTCCACCACGGATATCTGATAAAGAAATAAAATTAGATTTTTTTTAACAATAATATTTGATAGTAAGGGGGTAAAATGTATAAATATATAATCAGCTATCACCTTTATTTTTATGACTTCGCTATCAGAAGATAAGCAGCACATGAATGGGATAAAAAGGACCAGCTAAACCTTTACTTTGGCAAAGGTGTGAGCAATAAAATAGTAAAGTTTAAAAAAAAAAATTACAAGAGATTAATTAAATAAATTGTTATTGCGGCTCTTCTGATGAATATTTCTGACCTTGTAACATATTCTTTGTAACAAATGTATCTACCCATAAAATTAATATTTTGCATTATATTAAATTTTAATATGTGTCATTTTTATTTTTAATTGAAATGTATGTATAGGCTTTTCTTTTAAATTACTAAAACATGTATTATATTGAAATATTAAAATAGTTTTTCTTCAGTATACTTTGTATGACAACCGGTTAGTATGACGAGATTTCGGCGTCCATTCGATGTCATACTAAGCGGATTCTACTGTATTTATCTTGAACTTAAATGCTATCTCGTACAATAGCAAAAAAGTTTTACTTCAATCACGTGTGAACCTTACTCGCACTCTTTTTTTATTTCGTTTGCTTTAATTTGCAATTTTTTTTTCAAAATATCAAAAATATGATTCGAATTTTAATTTTAATTTTAGTTACAACTCAAAAGCTCACCCGTATACATGGAATAAAATATAATAATGCTTAGAAATATGAGATAAGGTCTTTTAATTATAAATTCTCTTGATTAAGTTTTGTTTATTTACTTATTTACATTTTACTTAATTATATGTAAACATATATAAACAAAGACGTTCAATTTATGAGATATTGAATTTTGTCTATAAGATACGAATGATAAAAGTTACGAATATTTCATTACGGTACGAAAAGTTCCAGCAATTTGCATTAAGGCACGATGCCATGCACCACCATCTGATATACCAACTTCCCAAAATGCTGGAACTGTACGTTTGCAGATGACATATGCATACTATCTCTAAAATAGCATCCAAACTTTTGCAGCGTCACATTCCAATAATGTTTTCTCAAAAACTTTGTGTTTATTTTATAAGGGAAATATTTTACTATCAAGACTAACCAGAAGCCCATTGCTCTTAAGTTCAACAGTCATTCGAAAATGCTTCAGATCGACCACATAGGCACATATAAAATATATTTCCAAGTCACGATATCGAAAATTTCATTAAGGTTAATTAATTCTGATTAAGCTTTATTTATAATTGATTATTAGAGCTTGCTTATAAAGAAACTAATAGAAATAGCAATTATTTTGATTATACAAAGAATACATGTCTTCAAATGTACACACACAATTTTCTACTAACCTGTGATCAACACGATTTTGAGAAAACATATACAAGACAAGTCAAGAACAGCTGCAGACCTCCCATTTGGTTTCATGTTCTACACCTAATCAGCACTTTTACGTCTAACTGCTGATGAACCAAACGGCTTCATCCGAGCGTCCTTTGAGAAAGACCTATACATGCCCTGTACTAAAATTATAGGACAAGTTAAATATATTTGGACCAATAATGTCTTAATTGTTAGTTAAAGTAAATATATCTATAATATCCATAAATATATGTTTAACAAACGTAAATGCTTTTATACCTGCATCAATCTGCTATCATAATTTATGTGTTTTTAAATACAAGTTATATATATATATATATATATATATATATATATATACACTAGATGACCCGACACACGTTGTCCTGTACCAAAATCTACGTTTTTTCAATATCCTATACTAATATTTAGCGTTCAGTTAAAAATAATAATTATTGTTTTTCGAATTACTATTTACACCAATGTTAAAATGATGATTCTCAATTCCCACAGTTAACACTTTAATTATTCGATTTTTTTTACTGTGCTCCAATTTTCTTGATATGTTGGAAATAGGCTAATCTTAATCTTAAGTTCAGGAGCGAAAACAATTTGCACTCCGTCATCACCCCCCGCATTAATTGGATTATAACTCATTTAATTCTAATATTATCAGAACTTGTAATATGATATTTTAAAGGTAATTCAATGAGCTATAACTTTCTCTTTTATAAATTTTACCGTAACTCCTCTTATTTTCAAACGGCGAAGTAGGGCTCAAAAGACAATGTGGTTGGGCATAACTCTATCAATATTTGTGTAACAGAAAAATAATAAAAAGCAACAATTAGTCAGAAAAAGACCTTGAATCTATATACCTATATACGTATCTTTTAATCTTTCAATGATGTTTTGGCTATTTTTAAATGGATTTTTTTTCATGAAATCATGAGTTTTTTGAAAATCGTTTGTACTAAAGTTGTGGTTGATGGTTGATCCATCAAGATCTCTTAAACCAAGTTAATTCTAGATGGAATACGATTATTATTAATTTTGGTGGAAATGGCACTCATAAACTATTTAATTTAAATGAAAAAAGCATTATATGCGTCTTTTATTTGCATGATAGCTCACTCATTTTACACTCAGAAGTACTCATTTAAAGATTATTTTGAGCATTATAAAACCCCATTTTCAAAAACTAGCCTAATATTGTTCCAAGAACACTTTATAAAACAACAATTTATTAAGATTTTCATTGATATAATTTTGTACATTACATGATATTCATGAGTTAAAAGGTATATTTCTGAAGATATTAGCAAAAAAACGATGAGAAACGCAAAAAAAACTAATTTTCAGTAGCAAATCCTAGAAAATTCCCTTAAGAAGCTTCAGGAAGATTTATTAAAATCCGAATAATTTACGAGGATTATCCTTTCATACACCATTATAAAAGAATTTTATGTATAGGATATATATATATATATATATATATATATATATATATATATATATATATATTAAAGAAGTTAGTTTTGATGTTGAGAAATATGAGTAAGTTCTTCAAGGGCATACATTAAATAAAAGGCAAAGATTTAGAAGTTAATCTTTAATTTTTTCCAAACGTTTCGACATAGTATTTTATGTCATCATCAGTGGATCTAAAGAATGAATATTGAAAAATTAATATAAACTAGGGAAAAATTGACAGAAATTGGAAAAAGAACTATAGATATAAGTAATATAATTATAACAATAACAATTATACTTAACAGCTAGATAAACAAGAGAAATGAAAAGTAAAAAGAAATATATACAAACATACAAAAGCGTAATATATATACATAGGTATACGCACAAACAAACGTGTATATATGATATACATGTACAAACACGTACACATATACATATGTACATACGAATAATACGTATATATATATAAACATATACATACGGACATGTACATATGTATATATACACATATACATATATGCATACATACACATATATACATATATATATATATATATATATATATATATATACATATACATACATATATATACATATATATATATATATATATATATATATATATATATATATACACATATATACATATGCAATACAGACACATACATATATATATAGAAAACGAAGCTAACTTACATAAATATGGTCTTACATCAGAAGCTAGCGCAAGGCACATAATTTTGCATTATTATATATACACTAACTTGTTTTTTTTTTATTATTTTGTTGAACAGAGCTTAGCAAAATATTTGTGAAATATATAATATATTTTGCACAGAGAACGTAGTTGACCGAGCCCGAGGCCGTAATAACATGTGTTTAAAAATTATTTGAAGAGACCGTTTGAGGGAATAGTTGGCGGGTTTTTTACAATCAGTGTTTCGGAGTATGGGTGAGAGGCTAAGAATCAAAGTTCGGGATCGGACCGCGTAAGGGTAGGTTTACAGGTTCGGAATTACGCAGGTTAAGAGGAAACAAATTTGGAAATATTATTAAGTATCACCTGATAATTTTCACAGAGTAAGGAGGCATCATGGCGTTTATTAACACAAGATTCAGAAATGCTGATTAGACAACATTCAGCAAATCTTCTCTGAATAATGTTCCGTTCGTGATAAAGTATACTAGCGTTATAAAAGTCGAAAGAATGTTTAAAAACTTTTATATGTTCTGTTATCATGGTTTGATTTTGTCGTGGGTTTTTAGAGTTATTATCATGTTGTTTTAGTCGTTTTATTAAATTTTGTCCAGTTTCACCTATGTAAATGGAATCACAATCATTGCATTTTAATTTATAGACAATATTTGATGTGCGTTCTAAACTAGTGGGTGATTTGAGGTTGGAAAAAAGGAAGCTAAGGGTTAAGTCTATGTTAAAAATTAATCTTAAGTCGACCTTGTGGAACAGTTTTTTCCAAATGGGAAAGAGTTCTTTAATAAACGGGAGACAAACATTACCAATAAAGTTATTGTCTTTGGAGATTTTGGTAGAAGAAGAAGAGGTATTATTGTTATTATTGAGAAATTTGAGTCTATTGTACGTGACAGAGTTTATGAGATTAGGAGGATAAGAGTTATTAATAAGCGTTGTGTGGATTAACGATAAATTAGCAGACCAAAATTGTTTGTCCGAGAGAAGTATGGCGTGGTCAACTAAATTAATTATAGTACCTATTTTCACGTTTGGAAAAAATTAAAGATTAACTTTTATATCTTTGCCTTTTATTTGATGTATGCCCTTGAAGAACTTACTATATATATATATATATATATATATATATATATATATATATATATACTAGCTGACCCGGCAAACGTAAGTGAGGTATATTCTAAACAATTTCTAGAGAATCAAAAATATCAATGCTTTAAGTGTATAAGGATGTGTTGTTTGAATGCTATATACCAGACATCGGCAACCTACGGCACGCGTGCCAAGCTTATGCTTATGCCCCACGCGATGGGGTTCTTAATGGCACTCTAAGTAATCAGGAAAATCGCAAATATCGAGTGATTTTTAAATAAGAGAAAATGTTTAATTATAATTATTTTTCTAACGTAGCTCGCTAATGTAATTCAACCTACGTTGAAGTACTTGAAGATGAATTTTTCAGAAGATGCAAAGACTTTGAAGCTTATGTGTCTATATTTTCCTTTCTCATAAAACCAGATACATCAATAATACCGTTTGATTTGTTGATTTTCGAATGGATTAATGTTGATAATTTTGAAATTGAAATTATCAAACTAATATCTTCAGAATTATGGAGAACAAAATTGAAGGAATTACAAAAAAATCTGGAAAATGACTCTATGGAAAAATCGTCAGCCATATGAAATTGTTGAATGACATTGCCGGAAAAGATTTAATTGTTTAAAGAAAATTGTATGCGCTCTCCTTTCAGCTTTTGGTTCCACATATCTCTGTGAGCCAATTTTTTCTCACATGTAACATATTTTGAGTTCACAAAGAAATAGTTTAACAACTAAACATTCAGAATCTTGTGTGAAATTAAAAGTTACAAATTATACCCCGGACATTGAAATGTTAAGGAAAAATGTGCAGGCACAAGGTTCGCATTAAAGTTGTTTAGTTTATATTCAGTGGCGAAATAACCTTTCTGCCGCCCTAGGCCCTATCTGATCAGGCGCCCTTTTTAATAGACATTTTTTTACTTTTTTAATTAAACTATAAATTTATTCTAAATTACTTAAATACAACTTTTAACTTTGCGTAAAGTACTCGTAAGTTATAGTAATCGCACAAGATCGAAAATGAAATTTTTTGCATATTTTTACGTTTCAGACATTTCTAAACATTTTGGCATACCCCAAAAAAAATTGATGTGTGTGTATGTATGTATGTTTCATTTTCATAAATAAGAAAGTTCTGATTAGTTTTTCGCTAAGACAGGTTTAGCCGTTTGGAAAATACAGAACAAAAGTGCAAAAATTGCAATTCAGTTTTTAAAAGAACCGAGAGGCTGGTTTCCGAATAATTCAAAAAAAAATTACTTGTACTAAAGGAATGAATAATTACCTAAATTTTTGGGAAGGCAGGTTTAACGGTCAACCAAGCATTTTTTTGTAATTAGTAAAAGAAAGAAAAAAATCGTCAAAGTTTTAGCCCACAATTTTAAGTCGATTTTAAAAATTCAAAAACCATTCGAAAAATCATGGTTGGAAATCGTATTTATTAGTTTTTGGTAAAAACCTGCCGGACTGATTAGGTTTGCGGGACGATCGACCGAGCCGGTTGTTTGAAATTAGCATAAAAAAGCAAACATATTACGTTTTTGGAATGAAGCCAGAAACCGATTTTTAAAATTGAAAAAAGATGTCTGAAAGATATCAATTAGGAGTCAAAATATTTGACAATTTTAAAAATTCATCAAAGTTTGATAAAACTTTATAGTCAAAATTTGTGTTAAAAGGCGCTTTTGTGATGTGATAAATCAAAATTTAATTTTCAAAAACGCCTGAACTGATTTCACAAATTAAAAAGACATTGGACTAAACTCGATAAATAGAACCGAGATATTCAAAAATTTCGAGTTTTTTTAAATTCTAAAATTTTATTTTTTTTATTTTATTTTCATTCTGCAATCTATAAAAATAATTATAT